AGTGATGCTAACTTTATGCGGCTGTATTGCTCTGTGAGGAGGAAATAATTCCTACGCCCCTGCTGCGTTGGCGTCCGAGCCCCGATCACGTAGCAGCCGGACGTTCCAGGTGGTGCAGCTTTGTACATAACTTTGTGGAGCGGATGAGCAGAGAAATATTTTGTCGCAAAGAAACGGTGCAAACCCTGTTCTGCCTGATTTTGACCAAGTTTGTTCTCAAAGTTGTGGAGGGGCTAGCTGCTATCCAGCTAAATAGGGAACTACACACTTGTTCCGAAATTAAGTACATCTAGGTGAGTAAAAGCCCAGGGGGGTATTGCATTGCCCCAGAATCTTTCCTCTGGGTGGGAAAGATTGTACCATGGCTAGAATGTAGATTCGTTAACTACCATGCCCCAGATGCTCCTATTTATATTGTCACTTGCGTGGCATTTGGATCATAAACTGAGCATTATGTGCCCAGAAAATGGTGCAACAGTGGCACACATTTTTAAGCATCTGCTTCCATCAGGCTCAGGAAGGAAGCACTTAGGAAGCTAGAAAATTAAAGAAATGCAAGCAGCCAATTTGTAATGTTTTTTGTAATTTATTTGCAATCACTGAGACCTGCTAGAGCATGATGTTTACTCACTAAGTAAACATGGTAAACTTAACTGTCATTTGCTGCCAAAAAACATCCTTTAGTGCCAGCTGTGAATGCTGTGCAACTTTACTTGGGTTATTTTGTTCTCATTATAAGCTGTGGTTTTAATATTTTTATTCTCTTTCCCAGGAGCCAAAACCAAGTTTCTGATACTGAGTACCTGTGTGCCTGCTATTCTGCTTTGTGTATGTGATCTAAACTTATCTCATTTTGACAGAACTTTTCCAAACACCAGGTGTCACACATGTGTATGCATGCACACCATAAATCTGAGCATTCAGAGATCAAGGCACAGTCACCCCCAGTGTCACTGCACAGACACCCCCAGTTTCAGTGTGTGGAGAGACAATTTTTAGGGCATTTAGATGTTGCTAAGGTAATTTAATGCAAAAGTGCTTCAAATTTTGCATGCAGAAAATTTTAAGACATGCAGAAATTTTCCTAGCTTGAATTCTGCACACACAAGTGTCAGATTCAATGCACCAGGGTTGTGCAGGTGTTTGGTGCAATGAATGGATTTGTAGAGGCTAGGACTCCAGTTTGTAGAAGCTCTTGGATGGGACTGACAGCATGCCACCAGACAATATATGTGTATAATGGGAGGTAAGAAATAGCAATTATAGACCTGACTGATGCCATCATTTGTCTTGTCTTCTAATTGCCTTTCTGTAAAAATAAAGAAACAGGTTATGAGACAAATCAAGCATGATCATGTCAATTTTTATTGAAATGTTACCTATGTAGATGGCAAATGGTCAGCATGACAATCAGAAGCAAAAATTGGAATACAAAAAACTCTAGGAAAAATGGGTGTAGATATACTCCAGACTGCCAAATGCTAGCCATCCATGCCACTCAGGGTGGCTAGCCATAGAGAGGTTTTCATAATAGGGTAAATGAAATAGCCAGCCCCTGGTTTAGTGTAATGTTTATGATAAAGAACATATACATATACATATATACATATGCATATATGTGGTTACATTAAGGAGGGTGTTAAAAGTGCTGCAGGTTTTGGAAAAGTGTTTCTCAGCAGAATGGATGCTGGCCATTCTTAGAGAGTTGAGTTGGACCCTAGCAGTGATTTTTAAAGCTGGTTCATGCTGGCTGATGTTCATGGCTTAGCAGTCAGCTTGTACACATGTCCTCAATCAGGGCCAGCCTCTTCCTCCTGCTGTCACCAGCATGCAGCTTATCTAGCTTGTGTTGCAGGCAGCATGATAAAGATTGATGTTTGCTGAATAAAGAGTGGTAACAACCTCCATCCCTACCCCCCCCCCCCCCTGGTCATCATCAGGCTCACTTTCCAGAAAAAGTTCCTGAAGTACACCCTGAGCTTGCCCCCCCTCCCCACTTTTTGAAATGTTCCTACACCTATGATACCCAGATGGTGACAATCAAGCTGGCACTCTCAGGTAGAAGCTTTGTACATGAGACAACCATAAAATGAAGGTGAATTTCCTGCTCTGGTTACAGATGACGGCTGCAGCAGTCTCAACAGCACAGCATCTCGTCCAGATTCGCCAGCGTGTGTCAGAGTTGTGCTGGCTTGCAGCTGGTGTGGGTCCCCCTGGCCATGATGTCACTGTGCTGGGACACGCCGCTGGTGCCACTGATGCTGACGCTGATGACCTGCGCGCTCGGTGACCTGGCGCTGCGGTTGACGGCCGCCGCTGGCCCGTGCTGGCCGCGAGCCGTTCTTGACTCGGCCACGCACGGCGTCGTGGCGCTGCTCTCCTGGGCGGCGTCAGCTGGCCCGCAGTCAGCTGGCGCCTGGCTGCGGCCGCCGGTATCGTCGGCGCCGGCATCGACTTGGACCATGTGCTGATGGCGGGCAGCCTGGACATCCACGTGAGTTCTGCGTCCTCTGACAGTGGCCGATGCGCCGCGCAAGGAGCTTGAGTTCCGTGCTGCCCTCGGCGAATCAGTTCGCCCAGCTGTCTGCTGAGCGGCAGGTATCGCTTGTGGGTTTACTGGACGCTCATGCTCGCGTGCGCATCTGTCAGCTCCCAATGTGCTGTTATCAGGTGTGGTCATGCAGTTCCGCAGGCATGTATATTTGTGTCACAGAAATAATGCTTCTGGGTCAACTCTCAGCCCATTGGCAGCTGATCACGAGGGCCAGGCTGCCTCAATGCGTTGGCGACAATGTGCTGCACATCATGTTAAAACCATTAAGGCATACTTAGCTAATCTGTCGAAGTAAAATCATTCATTGAACTGGAATTTCCATGCTAGCCAGAGGGCGTCAGGTCTTTACAGTCTAATTACTTGCAAGTGTAAGCGTCCAAAGCTATCCCGCCAAAACCAGTCGATTGTGCTCGCTTGTAAAAGAGCCAGGAAATGACGATTTGGCCGTGGCACGTCGACGTCATCGGCATTGGCGATTGTATGCCGTGCATGCGGCCGCCCCTGGCCTGTCAGTGACGCGGCCGCATGCCGCCCGCCGCCAGGACGTGGTGAACCTGCCGACGCGACCGCCCCTGCACGCTACCACGCCCTGGCTGCTGCTGGCAGCGCCCCTGGCGGCCGGCGCGCGCACCAGCTGGCGAACGGCGGCCGCGCTGCTGCTGACCGCCGCGCTCTCGCACCACGTGCGAGACGCCGAGCGGCGTGGCCTCTGGCTCTGGCCACTGGGCAGCACGCCGCCGCTGCCGACCGCGCTCTACCTGGCGCTGGAGCTGGCGCTGCCGCTGATGCTGGCCCGGGCGCTGGCGCCGTCCGTCCAGCCGGCGGCGCTGGACGCGGCGGCCGTGCGCGTGCTGCCCGTGTGAGGCTGCGGCCCGCTGGCGCCGGCAGCTCGGTCCAAAGTCTGGACTACACTGCTGTCGCTTCCACTCTGACCATGTCGTGCTATACGACTCCTGGCAGGAAGCGTGTACGCGCGTAGGCACTAAGTAAATAGGAAACCGGTGTTTTAGACTGGGTACGCAGCTATTTTTGTAGGATATTGGCCGTATTTTGTGCTCAGTGCTCCTTTCTAGCGCAGTGCTCACAAAGGATACGGACTCCCGACTCATCGGTTCATGATATGTACCTGTACAAAAATGGAGTGTTGCACAATGAAACGTTGACACGGCTATGTGAATTGGATGGTGCTGGTAGGACTCACCAGATCGCCAGGCATTCTTTGTAAACGATTCACCTGCGACATTCAGTTTTGATGTGCAGTGGTGGTGCTGAAACACGCCGAATGACCATAGCTGTGCTGTGGGTATGACAACTGGCGCAGCTTCTTTTCTGCACTCGTCGGAAAATTGCATTGTTCGTTTGCATCACGGTTGTATGTCAACCTCCTGACTCGTACCATATTCACTAGATCGCATAGTATGCTTGCGTATGCCATGAGGCAGCATAGAGGCTGTGGGGAGACTGTCCTAACCGATTGTCTTGCGCGGCTCCCGGGAATCCGGCTTCACGCAGGGAGAGACTCTCCCCACGCCCTAGCCTATCCTGTGATCTCCGAATCTCGCGGATGGGTCGCCTCACGAGTGGTCTCGGAGAAATACTCAGGTTTTCATTGGACGACATTGAAAATGTCATTAGCAGCGTAAGATCCGAAAGTGTGGAAGTGAAAGCTTGGGACTTTCTTGCTTCCAGCAGTTAACTTATTTGCGGCGTAAAAGTCACTGTGATGTCAAACCGTCAGAGATTACATACACATGCAAGCGTATATATATATATATATATATATATATATATATTAAAATACTCATTTGTCTACAAACTTGTCGATGTATTTTTGTACGTCAGATGGCCGCTTACGCTGCCGGCTCACAAGCCTCGGCCTTGACACGAGGCTCAGTAGGAAGCGAATACCGCAAGGTATGAGTGTTTCGGCACGTAAACTGTACTGCCGACGACACAACTATAAGTGGCGGTATTTCATCTGTCTGTGACTTATTGGAATCGAATCGCTGCCTTTTGAACCCGGTGATTTTGTATTGCTCGCTCTAGGAATGTAATATTGGAGCAAGTTGTGCACACCTCGTGCCGCTCGAGGCGGCAGGCGAGCCCCATGGTGTTCGAGCCATATTGGCTTCAGCCGTCCAGAAATAGCACCGGATTCTGCTCCATGTTGATGAATTCAGGGAGCTGTTTCCCCGTTGTCCGTGATCTCGTATGTCATCGCACACTGGTCCATTCACCCGCCATTGCGAGACGTCTCCGTCCGCCCCTGTCACACAGATCGGCAAAGGCAGGCAATATACATGTATTCGACCAGTTTGTTTGTCACGATTGATGGCGGAGCACTCCCCTAGCCGCCACATGTATTCAGCTGACTGGCGGCCAGCAGCCGGCGCTACGCCCTCCAGCGGGGTCAGCACCACACGGTCACCGGACAGCGGTACGCACCCTCCCCCGGCGGTGACACGGGGGGGGGGGGGGGCGCCAAGCCGGCACACCGCAGACGCTCCCTCACTCCAGCATGGCCGACACCTTGCTGTGGGCCTCGGTGGCGCCCACCTTCTTCAGTATGGCGACGATGGCCTTCAGCGGCGTGCTGCGGCGGGGCGGGCGGGCGAGGACGCCGTCAGAGCACGCAGTAAGGTCGCCGTGCCGTCGCTGTACGACAGCAGGGCCACCCGCCGCCTCCGTAGGCTGGCGCCGGGTGGACGGGGCACCGAACTAGCACGTACCACGACGAGGAAGGCTGCGGGTGGCTTCCCTCACACATGGTTTGAGCCTACACAGGTAACGCAACGGTAACAGCTCACAAACGAACTCGGCGAACGAGAAGAACATGGCCTGGTGACTGTTTTGATCAAGGGAGTTTCTTTTTTGCTCGTTGAGATGGAATCCACAGGAAGGCATTTCGTGGGCAGGGCAAAACGATGTTTTTGCACGGAATTCAAAGCAATGTCCTCAAAGCCATACGTCTCCCCACTCACGTTTTGCTGGCCGTCTTGTTCAGCTGGACGGCCAGCATGGTCAGGTAGCTGACGAACATGTTGAGCTGCGGCAGGGAGGCGTCGCCCTGGAACCAGGCGCGGGGCAGCGCGCTGGCCACCTGCCGGTCAGAGGGCACCGTCAGCCATGTGCCAGCCCGGCTGCCCGTCAGCTCCGCAGAACCGACCGGAGGCGCCTGACGACCCCCGGCACGGGCGCGCCGATATGAACGTGAACGGGCTCATCCACCACACACAGGTCGGGCCGATAAGCGGACACTCCCACGTACTGCTCACACTCAAGCGGCCATGCCGCGCGACTGAGTAGCGGCCGGCAGACCTGGCCAGCACATGAACGGCGGCACCACACCCGCGCATCCACAGCGGCTCGACAGACGGTGCCTCTGCCCCGCTCGCATGTCAGCCGCCGCCGGCGAGGTGTGAGGCGTGGACGCCGGACGCGCGCCTCACCAGTTTGCACTTGTTGACGGCCTCGACCGGGTCGGGCACCAGCGTCAGCGGCAGCAGCATGCTGTCATTGAGCAGATCGCCCAGCGCCAGTTGCTGCAGGCACGCGTCGCCCAGCAGCTCCGTCCAGCTCAGCATGTTGCCCAGCAGCTTGACGCAGCTGGTGAACTGGCGGTAGAAGAAGGCGGCGGCCGGCGTGGAGCGGCTCTCTAGCACCCTGCCGACGGCGGAAGACGGCGCGTTTCAGGCGCGCAGCGGGGCACAGGGGGCCGGCGGCGCCCCAGCAGCAGCAGCAGCAGCAGTGGGCACAGCTCAGCCACGTCCACTGCTGCTGCAGCACCGCGGTCACCAACGCAGCCGGGCGGACGGACGCGATCCACGACAACTGGCATACGGCCAACCACAGGTGCTCCATAACTTCGAAAATAGCACACAACCAATGGAATGCTTTCCATGCTAGCCCGAAAGTTCGACTGGAAAGCTGAAGCTACGGTTGGCGAAAGCAGCTCTACAGTTCGGTGCACTCGAGGCACTATCCTGTACTGCGGCCGTGTCCCAAGCCCCGCATTCGAAGTAGTGCGACGCGTGGCACGTGAACCTGACACGCCCAATGGGTATCCATACTTTGTCCATGGACCAGCGCCCCAAGGTTTTTTCTCTCCTGTGATCTGCGATGGGGACCACGTCGAAGTTTTGTGAATGATCTCCCAGGGTCCACGATCCCAGTACAGCTTGGTCCGAAGATTTCATGGCATTCAGGATTCATTCCCAGAATCCGCGCATATGTCTGAAACCGACTGGTGATCAACGGAGATAACGTGGGTCTCGACCCAGCCCGCGGTACCGACTGCTTGGGGAGGCGGGCACGCAGCCAGCCGCACTGACTGTTTGGGGAAGCGCGGCACGAAGACGTCGTCCTTGATGCTGGCCTTGAAGGCGGTGACGACGGCCTGCAGGAGTCGGCGCAGCTGGCCGCTGGTGCCGCTCACAGTCGGATAGTCCCGCACTAGCTGGCGCACCAGGTGCACCAGCCGCAGCGTCTGGGCGTTCGACATCGGGTCCCACACCTGGTCCACCAGCGCTGCGGCGCAGACAACCACGTTAGAGACGGCGCTTCGCACGCGTGGTCTACATATGCTGAACTGAAATGGGTTATAAATGCGTTACCTACACAATAATTGTCGGACATGGTGCTACCACCGATCGCGCCAGCATAACCCGGCGTGTCATCAAAACTTTTTTTTTTGCAAAGAGCGCTAATGGTCAACTCGACTTTTTCCTACTCAACTTGGCGAAAGAACGCTCAGGCTCAGACTTCAAACTATGAACCCAAAGCTGCCTGGTTCAGGGTACAACGCAGCTTGGCTCACGTATCGAAAGATCACACGCGATGGTGCAAACACTTCATCCGTTCTGCCCTGCCAGCTGGCCCCCGTCCTCACGGCTACCGGCCCTCGGCCGAACCACCGCCGGCGACTGTCCAAACCAGCTCAGCCAGGCGAGGGCCGTTCGGCGCGGCCGGTCACGTACCGGTCATCTTGGGCAGAACGACGCGCTCGAGCACGCGCGACACCAGCAGACAGTCGGGGTCGTCGCGCAGCGCCTCCTCGGAGTCAGCTGCACGGTCGGCGCCGAACACCACCAGCTCGGCAAACCAGGCGTGACTCTCCAGCTCCGGACATTCCTGCCGATGTCACCACCAGCATAGAGTCATCGCCAGCCCGTCGATCCAGGCATGACCCCAGCTCCGGACACTCCTGCTGAGCGTGGACGGCCGTACGGGTCACCCGCCGCGCGTTCGCTCGGTTACCAGCGTAGCCACTATGACCTAAGTTTTGCCTACCCAATATTATCAACCATCCGTAGCCTTGAACTGTCATGTGGACAACTGGGACTTACGAGACTTATGGATGTTCTCGAACGCGCCACAAACAAAAATGCAAATGCACATAATTATCAGGTGCCCTACCGAGTAGTACAGCCAAGAACGTTATCTCCGGGTAACAGCACCATTACATGGGGCTAACTCCGCGAAACGCGTCACCGGACCAGCCGGGTCCGAGCATTCAGCAGGTGGCGGACCCGTGAGCGCCGCACGGCGGCCGCCCCCGCGGGCGGCGCGGACACGTACCCCCTCGGCCAGCGGGTTCCAGGCAAGCATCTGCAGGCGCACGAGCGGCGCCAGGGCGCGCGGCAGCGACAGGCTGACGTAGGCGTCGCGGTACGCCTGCGCGTCAATGCGACGCCACTCGACAAAGTGCCGGCACACGCCTGCCAGCGTGCTGAAGTCCTCCTCCACGTCGGCCATGACGGCGGCGGCGTCATGCAGCACGGCGTCTGGCGGGGCCCAGGCTGGGGTCAGTGCGAGGTCACACGGCGCCGGCAGGGCTGACGGCCGACCCTCGGCCTTTCCTCCACCTCCCCATGAGCTCATCGCTGCGTTGTCCGCGCTAGTCCCCAAACACTGGCTGCTTGACAGGGGTCTGGAGCTCAGCAAAATTTAAGCTTCAAAACTTCAAGAACAATGTGCTGCCAATGATACTTCTAGAGAATGTGGACAGTTGATGCATTTTCTTCAGCAGGTAGTTCAAAAGAGACCTACTGCATATTTTGACGAAGTGAGTCTTTTTACTGTATCACGCTTCAAAGAAACGTAATGTAGAACCTAATGTTAACATTTTTTTCCAACCAGGCTAAAGGATCAGGATCCGTGCACACCATTTGGAGATACGGCAAAACGCAATAATTGCGTTCAAAGCAAGGCAACTACGATTTTTGTTCGCTGACTCAGAGCATGTGTTTCTCTCTCTCGTCGCAACTCTAAATTGTGCACGCATAGATCAGACAACAAGAAACCGTGTGAGGCAATTTGCAGGATAATTCGACTCCTGAATTTTAAGGCCCCGGGAAGGGGCCTTAAAACTTAGGGGCCAAACCCGCATTCAACTGGATGCAAACTCATAGGAACAGCACAAAAATGGGGCTAATTTCAACTCGCTTCACACCGGCACCAAGGCAGTTCCTACTGGTGCCCAGTGAGTGGGGCATTATCCTCTTCCCAGTGCAAGACCAGCATGCATTAACGTGCTTGCTTGACCACGCCATCCACCCGAAACAGCATACTGTGTCGCGGAGTTCGTCGCCACTGGGGTGATTTAGTCGACAATCAGACGGAGACAGAGACAGAGACAACAGCGACGGCCACGGCGCAGACAGGGCATGTTCGGCTCACCCCTGTCCTTCTGGAACTGGTCGCCGTCGGTGGCGGCCGTCTCGTCGTCGGAGCTGAGGCCGTCTGGATGGTCAGCGCCGCCAGAAGCCGACAGCTCGCGGGCACGTCGCCGCCGCGTGCGGCGACCCTCGCGTTCGGCCGCCCGCCGACGCCGCGAGGCCACCTCATCGGCGCTCTGCTCCGAGTAGTGCACCCCGGCCCGCTCTGTCGCCACACCACAGCGGATGTCAGGGGGAGCACAGAGATCCTCTGTGCTGTTGCCACGCCACAGCGGATGTCAGGGGAGCACAGAGACGCTCTGTGCTGTCCTGCCGCCATACCACAGCGGACGTCAGGGGAGCACAGAGACGCTCTGTGCTGTCCTGTCGCCACACCACAGCGGATGTCAGGGTGAGCACAGAGACGCTCTGTGCTGTCCTGTTGCCATACCACAACGGATGTCAGGACGCTCTGTGCTCTGTGTTGCAATACCACAGCGGACGTCAGGGGGAGCACAGAGACGCTCTGTGCTGTCCTGTCGCCACACCACAGCGGATGTCAGGGGGAGCACAGAGACGCTCTGTGCTGCCCTGTCGCCACACCACAGCGGATGTCAGGGGAGCACAGAGACGCTCTGTGCTGTCCTGTCGCCACACCACAGCGGATGTCAGGGGGAGCACAGAGCCGCTCTGTGCTGTCCTGTCGCCATACCACAGCGAACGTCAGGGGGAGCAGAGAGACGCTCTGTGCTGTCCTGTCCCCCTACCACAGCGAACTCCAGGGGAGCACAGAGACGCTCTGCTCCGAGCAGTGCACCCAGACCCGCTACATCGCTGCACGACGCAGAACATCAACTGACAACCGAGTGCTACGAGGTGTTGCCATGGTTACAATGAAACGAACCGCGTGCTCGGTGAGCTGTCGCACCCGAAGCCCTCAATCAATGGCAGCTAAAACCAAACCACTTGTATGCCGATTGCCGGCAGCATCATAGAAAATGTCCCATCGTATTAGAAAAAGGCGCACTGTATGCTTGAGCATGACAAAAACGTTTTGACCCATGAACTAGAGGTGCACATCCATGGTGTTCTTCAGTGTGCACATCATCTGCGCACGCACCCAACGACGGGGCAGGGTGACCCGGGGTATTTAACACAGAGCGCGCCGGAACCACGGGGACAAACCCCTGACAATGTACGCACTCGTCGCTTCCGACACAAACCAGTACCCCGCAAGAATGCGCACCACAAGCAGCCAGTCGTAAAATTTCGGCCGCACTAGCTCCGCTTGCAGGCTGTAATATGGAAAATGGGCCGCGCCATGACACAAGCTACCAGCTCACCTCCATTGCGATCTGGCGACTGCAGATAGTACAAAACAAGGCAAGTGGACCGCAAGCTCTACCCGGGCCTGATTGACCGAGCGAGAGACCGGACCCGAGCACAGCCTCACCAACTGACGTCATCGCCATCAGCCGAGTCGGTGCCAGCTGGTTCGCACCAGGCAGCGAGGTGTCCGCGCCTGCACGCTCGGGGCGGAACTCACGTGTGCTGCTGTCCAGCTCCATTCGCTGGTCACGCACATCAGCGCGGCGCCGCAATATTAGCTTCTGGGAGCGTGCACGCAGCACTTCCAGCATACGTCCTTCTAACTCTTCGATCAGCGCCATCTGTTGATAGACGGCAGAGTCAGCGACGCAGCAGCGAATGACGCGGGCGGCTCAGCTGGCTCCCTGGCGTTGAAGAATGTCCGAGGTCAGGTGTTTGGCGCTAATCACTGCCGAACAGGGCATCGGACCGCCCAACACGCTGCAAAACTGAACACAGCTTCAACAAGAAGTCATGTGCAATTGTCGCCATGGCATCAAACATACATCCCATGGTGTCCCTAACAACGCCGCCTCGCTTCCGTCTCGCATCGTTCCAGAGGACACGCGGGCATCGGCTGTCCTGTCCCGCGAGAGGAGAGCGGGCCCTCCTCGTCTCTGGGGTCCGTTCCACAAGGGACGAGGGCATGGGCTGTCCTGCCTCAAGAGAGAATGTACAGGGAGCCCCGCCTCGTCTCCGGGGCCCGCTCCAGAGGGGACGAGAAAAAGCCATGACTGTCACGAGAAAAAGCCACGAGACAAGGTGCTGGCTCTGACGTGTTACGATCTGACCATTCGTAGATAAGCTAATAAAGCACCGCCCGTCCGCACCGTGTACCCAGAAGTAATTAAACCGTTTCCACATCATGACGGCTAAAGTATACCCACAACCCCGGACAACACGAAAGCATGCCGTCAGGCATGCTTTCGTGTTGACCGGGACCAATCCCCAAACTGCTACGTGGACCAATCCCCAAACGATATGAAAGTGGCATCCAAACAAGTGTAGCCGCCCCTTCGAACAGCTCGCTGGAACAATCCTGTAAATTGGTTAGTGTACCGGCGCACATGGAAATGCCGGGCCCGCTGGAAACCGAAGTGACATCAGTGGGAACTAGCCACACACGTTTGAGTTTGCAAGTTACGGGGCGGGCCATATTTCGCCTGCATCCCGCGCCAGCAGAGGCAGTGGCGCGAAGCCCGACGCAAACGAGTCCTCTGCATAAAGCTCTGCAGCGCGTGCAGTTTATGGCTCTTCCGGGTGACTAGCACAATTCGCCTGATACTGAGCCCTGGTGTCAATATAGCGTGGTCCATTCCCCCGATCCGGACGATGTGGGAGCCTGCGCAAGCGTCCAACAGTCTGACAGACAGTCTGGACAGGCGTCAAACACCTGCCCGCTGATTGTTCGCATATACTGCCGGGCCAACGAAGAAAACGGACGATACACTGGGCTCAATAGGTTTAGCAATGTACACCGATGTAGTAGGAAAAACGGCGCAATTTGAGACACGTGATGCAAACTGCATGTGACAGCTTCAAGCGGGCTTGACAGTCACGCCACTTTCAGAGCGACAGTCGTCATTGTTTGGGTCACAATGACTCGGTATTTGGGAATGGGCTTCAAAACGTAACAGGCAACAGGTATTCCTTCTCCGGAACGGTAACCGTGCGCACAGTTCCATCTGGGGAGCGGGGTGGGGTGCAACGGTCCTCTCCACACCGCGAATCACTACCCCATAGCCGACAAGTCGTGGCCACGGATTGCACAATTACATTTAGTTTGCGAGTGAACAGTACAGTTCAAGACGTTATATGTGCCACTGATCCAAGATTCGAATCTATGTGATACATACACGATATTTTCTAAGGAGAATGCTCTTGGTAGTTGCCTATGTTGCGGTAACAAAGAGGTGAAATTAAGTAGTTTCCGTAAGCTTTTGACACGGAAACCTCTCCACGGCAGTGACGGAACGGAGAAAGCTGGGCAAGAAACCCACGCGACATCAACATCCGCTGGAAGCCGACACCGAACACCAGACTCGTTCACATAACGTGACTGAACCCCACCCGACCAAAAAAGGATCTGAAAAATACATACCTTTTCGTCAAAGCACTCTATCAGATCTGTGACATACCCACGGATATCTTGGTAGTACTGGTATCTTCGGAAGGCGCGGGGCGCCTCGCGCTCCAGCCGGTCAATCTCCGACTGGCCCGACACGAGGTCGTCCAGCGCCCGGTCACGCGCCGCCACGTGACCGGACTGGGCCAGCCGCAGCTCCCCCAGCCTGGCGCGTCAGGTCACGGGTCAGACACCGCACCAGCACGGCTTGCCGCCGCAGCTGTCGCCCAGCGGCCTGGGACTACGTCACGCCACGCCCGCCAGCGCGGACGCGCAGCCACGGGCCGCTGGAGTCAACACATTCCCGCCACTTCGAAGCCAACCGGGCAGCGCACAACACACACGTGTGGCACCGTACATTTTACTGGGATGCCCGTCAACACACGGCCACGGCAGGGACGAGGACATCCGGCCAGCACAGTGCGGCGGGTGACGTGTGGCGGCGCGGGGGCAGGCGTGTCCGGCGGGCGCGGCGGCTCCTGCCCTCCGGCCCGGCCCCTCACACCGTACTTTTGCTGGAGACGCTGCCTCACGGCGTGCGGCGTCAGCTCGGCCAGCGGCCGGCGCTGGCGGCGGCCCAGCGGGTCAGCCAGCCGCGTCGCCGCGCCGCCCGGCTCGTCCGCCTCCCCGGTCGGCAGCAGGTAGTGCTCGGCCGTCACCGACGCCAGCTGTAGACGGCGCGCCAGTCAGAGAGCAGCTGCGCAGCGGGCGCACTGCATGCGGCGGCCCGACGCCCGCACGCAGCGGCGGCCACGGACCCACTGCACGTCGCGGCCCGACGGTCGCAGGCGGCAGCCGCCACGGACCGCATTGCTCGCCAGCGTGTAAGTTAGTGTACGCTGCGAAGGTGCTGGTGCTGCGGCAACTGCGCACAGCGTTCGGTGCGCCGCCACCAGTGTTCGCTGGCAGCACTCTTAATCTCTCGAGACTTTGGATCTATAGAGCAATGCACATGAAAATAAGCACGTTCCAAATACACATAATTCTGTGAACATGTAGTTCGGCACAGCAAAGCAAGACTGCAAGCCTGTCCAATAAAGCAGAAAAACCATCTCGACTTTGGGCTATTGAGCAGGCTAAGCCAATATGCATTATTTACTGGACCCAGTCCCACACTCCTTAAGATCGACTGAAAATGAATGTCTCAAATCGGAAATGCTCCCACTGGCAAAGATGCTCCAGAATCCCGTGTAAGACGGCCGGCCGCCGACGCCGGTGCGTACCTGCGGTCCGGAGAAGGCCTTCTTGATCTGCTGGTTCTCCCAGCGGGCGAGCTCTTTGTCGTCACCGTCCGACGCATGCTCGTCCTCTGCAGCACACCAGCCGGCCTCAGCGCCCCAGCTTCCCATCGATACACCGCGCCGGCCCCGCCGACAGACACGTCCACAGTGCCGCTCTGGCAGGCAGCTCGGCCCAGCCAGACCGAATCATGCAGACAGCACACACAGCAGTGTTGGAAATCTGGAGAGCGTATAAGCCCGGTACGTAGCCACCCTTCATTTTGGAGGGTGTTTAAGCCTGGTGCGTAACCACCCGCCATTTTGGAGGGTGGTTACCACACACAACCTGTCATAAATTGCAAACCCATATATATGCACCTGTGTTTCATAGTACAGAGTCTGAGACCGTGTTGCTTCAGTGTGCCATGCTTAATACTGATGCTTCCTTCCATTTCAAGTGCTTTTACATGAATTGCTGCATCTGAAAAGTGGCCCTTTTGTTGAGTACACCCCATTGTACTGTTCACACGCACACGCACACGGACACACACGCACGCACGCGCGCGCACACGCACGCACGCACGCACGCAAGCACGCACGCACGCACGCACGCACGCACGCACACACACACACACACACACACACACACACACACACACACACACACACACACACACACACACACACACACACACACACACACACACACACACACACACACACATCCGCCTGCTGGAGACGAGTCACATTCTGAGGCGCGGCCTCACAGCTCGACCCGGCCCGGCGCATGAGCGCCGCCAGCTCCGCCGGAGTCCGCGTCTCCAGCGAGTCCCGGCACGCTAGGTAGCACTGCCGGGGCGCAGGGAACACACGGCCGAGCCCCGGTCCTGGCCGGACCCACGCGTGCCCCGACACTGAGGCACCCGCGGTCGCAGCCTCAGCACGGACCTTGATCCCTGGCGGCGTTGAACTGGTCGCGGCGGGCCTCGCGGTCTCGCGCCGCCGTACTGACGGTGAAGGTGACCCGGTCGTCATCGGGCCCGCTGTCGTCGTCCTCCTGATGGGCTGGTCGGCCGCCGGCCCCCGACCTGACGGCGGGACCCCCGGTCACCAGGTGTGCACGCGACGCCACACAGCGTAGCAAGCACGTCAGGTGTCGTCGACAGAGGAACTCAACTGAACCCAACAACGAAAAGCAACGTTGAAAACGCATCATCCTTTGGAGTCAGAATCAGTTGGAAAGCGAATAAATCGACCACGCACAGCGCTCTATCCTATGTCCTGTTGATCTCCTCGACAATCCACGAGTCAGCATGTCAACATACACGGCTCAGCAGTATCCCAGTCCATGTGTGCCGGTGCCGCGCCGCTCCGGGCCGGCGACGTCACTCACCCGGCACCGTCTTGACTGAGCGGCACGAAGTTGGGGGCGGCCTCCTGCTGGCGCCGCGCCTGCTCGCGCCGCTTACGCACGGCGTGGATCGTGGCCGCGTCCGGGATGGCACCGTCTGCACGCGCACATGTGCACCGGTTACCAGCCAGCACGCGCACGCACACGCACCCCTGTTATCCCCTGAAGGGCAGTTATCCACTGACAAATGCATAGCGCATGACGGCTTCACGAGTAAAACGCATACGGCTCTCAGACAACCGTAACTGGTGCGGCTCGCCAGCCGCCGTCGGCTGGCGAGCCGGCGGGGTCGGGCCGCCGCCGCCGGCAGCTCCCACCTTTCAGCACGTTGTCGAGCGAGGCACGCGGCGTGAAGCGGTGCAGGGGGCGGCGGCCGGCCGGCTTCTCGTCCTCGTCCGAGCTGTGGTAGCCGGCCATCTCAGCGGCGCGGCCGCTCAGCACGGCGGGCCGCGGCGCCGACTCGGCCGGCTCAGCAGCGTTCGGCACGGCCGGCGGCGACACGGGCTCCAGCTGCCGGCCGCGCGCAGCACCGTCATCGGACCGCAGGACGGCGGCAGGGCACACCAGCAGGGGTGGGGGGGGGGGGGGGTCACAATGTCGGCGTGCTGCCAGTAAGGCACAGGGGCACGGACGGCCGCGCTGCGGACAACGCTCAGAGCGTCGGCCAATGCTGGACGTCGAATCATGAAGGCCACGCTGGCCGATGCACACTAGAATAATCCGCGACACATAGCATTGCAACCCATATATACCCTCTTGAAAACGAGCTGCATCGCAAGGGCCCCTTAGGTCACTTTTTAAGCCTGAACACTATGACATATTTGCTTGTTACATCACAAGAAGGCCAGTATGTTTCCGTATGGCAAATATTTTGGACATGCCTTTATATCTGCTTCATTTCCATTGCTAGCTTCTTTCTCCAGCATTTCTCTCCTTCGCTTCTCCTTCTCAATTTGTTTTGCAAGCCTTCTGCTCTGGCTCGACTTTTTCACTTGAAACACCTCTCCTTCTTCCTCTGGAAACCGACCACCGTCTTACAAATCACGCAATAAATGTGAGTGCCAGCCCCATTGCATCCAAAAAGTGCATCCAGCACATAACAGCAGGTTATTGAAGACATGTTGTATATGGAAATCTTCATGTAAAGACACAAATGACAATTAATCATCACACACATTGAGCTGTCACGAAACCCTTGGGCTCCCACACGACCAATGCAGCCGCCTTGTTAATCCAAGAAAGACGCCAGAAAAAAACGTAATGTGGTCTTACCTTCATCCATAAAACTTACAACTGCTGTTTCTCTTTTCTTCTTTTTCTTCTTCTCCAATTTAGTATCCATACTGTTCTCTTTTGAGTCTCCAATCCCATCCATGCCGTCATCATTATCTGCTTTAGTTGTGGTTTCTAATGCCTCATTGCTTGCCTCATTCTCTTCATCACTATAATTGACAACCACTCGCTGGCGTATATTCTTCTTGGGCTTCTTAAATAGGGACATTGTGTCTGCAAAAGAAGTGAAGACATCTATGACGTTCTACTTTGTGTGGCAAACCTGTGTGGCAAATTGCACTGGTTGAACATCTGTCCATGCAAGGCACCATATGTGTAAAAATCTCAAATTGTGTTTGGATATGTTGTTAAGAAGGAGAACATTTAGCATGGGTGGTTGTAGCATGGCAGTAAACAGCAGGCTTCAGTTTCAGTAGTAAGAACTGCCTCACAAGGGACATACAGTCAAATGCTTCAGGCTCCTGCAATCCATGGATTAGAAAACTCCAATTTGCAGTCTAAAGCACTGCCAATAATTTTTGTACTGTTCAAATGTACCAGCTCAGAGGTGAAATTAGGGAGAGGGGGTGGCAAGGCAGCATAGCTCCCTCACTGCTTGTGGTGGAAAGGACAGCAATGGTCTCTGTCCCCTTCTCTCTGCCCCACCCACCTCCCTTTCTGAGCATCTTGTGAACAAAAATTGTGCATCAAAATGCACTAGGTCACATTCTGGGACACTGGATGTTCCAAGCAAAACTGACCATTTAAACCCTCATTTGGCTTAAGCCCCCTTTAAGCACTTTGGGGGGGGGGCTTTGACCATTTTGACCTGATGTTTCCATGCTTTCTGGGCCAATCAAACGATGCATACTGATAATTACATTTACTAAATACTGGATGGTGTTGTCTAGAGCAGCCTTTTGCACTGGAAAGCATGCCAATGGTTACAAGCAGACGTCGTGAGTACAAGTGTGATCATTCACTTTAAGAACATATTGTCTGACAACATTCAGATAGAGAAGGAAAATACCTACTTTATATTTTTTGATGGAAAGTAAATGTGTATTGTGAATTTATATATATATATATATATATAAATAAATTCAGTCAGATATATACATATATATATATATATATATATATATATATATATATATATATATATATATTGTGCGTGTGCGTGTGCATGTGCATGTGCGTGTGCATGTGCGTGTGCATGTGCGTGTGCGTGTGCATGTGCATGTGCATGTGCATGTGCATGTGTGTAAAGCTTGTCTTCATGTCAAAATATATATGTTCCTAAAACTCATATGTACTATAAATACATATGTGAAGGTGGTCTGCAAAAAAATAATTCACCATACTCAACACTTACACAACATTAGTGCACTGAACCCTACGTCAGTGTGTGCTAAACATGTGCCATGTGAAACTGAGCCAAATTTGTATACAATTTGTTTTCCCCAACAAATGTTTTGGGAGTATTTTGCATGCCATTGCCTTTGATGCATCACAATCTGTTGGAGCAATGATTTTATGGACTGAAATTGGTGCCAACTTGTTGAGCACTCAGATTAACTATTTCTATATGGCAATGAAATGGTTGCTGAATTGTTGGGGAAATAACATAGCTACACCACACATCATTGGTGCAACATGCATTTTTTGAAGCCTGAATGTCATGAAACACACCAAAATTGAGAAAACTAAAGTCTAAAGATTCC